AGAAGTTGAAGTGTTTAATTTTTCTCTGAAAGATCCCATTAAGTGAGGATAATAGTTTTTGACAATATTTTTAAGCCCTCTGTATTTGAACCAAAAGTCTCTTTGCTGCCAATTTCCAACCTGGCCTCTGATGGTTTACCTACCCCTTTATGTAGATTTCATCTTTCCTATTCATTTCTACTAGTTCTTGGTTCACATCATGTTCTCAAAAGCATATTGCTGCAATGAAATTATAGGCTTATATTCATCCCCAAACCAAATGCCCAGAAAAAGTTTGCCAATGACATTTTTTTGGTGACATTGACTTTTATGCTCAATGAAACTCTTCTGGCATATTCAGCTACATGATCCCAACTTTAAAGGTCATCCTGCTGCCATTGATTTCAAAGCACCACACAGGAAAGAGACATTGTTGATGTCATTTCATTTAGGACTGCTGCTTGTTTTTTGTTGTTGTTGTTGTTGTTTTTTTTTTTTTTTTGCAATACTAAGTGGTGAATTTTAAAAGAGAATTTGTCCTACTGTGCATGATTGGGTTAAATATCAATCATCCAGTATTTTGTAACAGAGATAGCTCGGTAAATTTAATGTTTTTCCCTTAACTTGGAAGTGAAGTTATTGAAAATCTATCATTAAAATCAATTTTGTTTACACACGTGCACACACACACACACATAACTAATTCTTGGGGAAAAATTTTTATATTTTATGCAATTGCATTCCAAATATTGATGAACCATGATATTAGATTCCAGCACTGCATACGTGAAGTTAACTTTTTAATTTAGATTCATTAATATAGTTAAATTGTGGCAATTCAAACTGAGATGCTTTCTATTACTAAAGTTAATAAGGCATAAAGAAGTGTTAGAACAAAGCATGAATCTAAGAATGTACAGACTAGAATCTCTTTCAAGTCATGGAGAAACAAAATAGAATCTACAGTTTTCTATTAATAGAAGTGTCTATGCAAGTCTTAGGAATCCACTGACTCTCATGCATGGAATTGTTATAAAATAACATCACTGATTTCTCTGTGTACCTATAAAAATGCATATTATTCACTGTTAATCCCACTTATTTTCATTTAGACTAAAACTGCTATAATGTTTGAAAGGTCTGATGAGGTTTTAAATCACAGAAATCTAGGACAAGAATGACTCAAGTTTTAATCCTTCCCCAACCTTCCAGCAACTGTCACTCCCCTGTGGAGTGCACTATAACTCTTAGCACTTAGGTCACTTTGGGATTTACGATGAAGAGTAGATAAGGGTGGCAACAAAATTAATGGGGTAGTAAAGTTAAGAAAGAAGGAAGGTAGGCCATGTGATTTTCTGTTAAAGGTCAACCCATCCCTGCTATTCCCTGACTTGTTCTATAATATTAGAATGATGCCTGCAAACTCAGGTTTCTTTTCTAAACTGGCTTCCAGTTCAGTTGGTTAATGCAAGAGTGGAGGGCAAAAGGAAAAAGAATCTGGAGTGTTTTGTCTCTTTATCAACCAAATATATCCAGGGGGTCACCTCAAACAGTGACTACATCAGCAGCCAGGGTTCTAGTATCTGCCGGTAACCCCCAGGTCTGAATTCAGGTGTGACTACTTTCTTTTGTGTCTCTCTAGCTCTAAGAGTAGTTGTGCTTCCTGCTGCTGGTAATCTCTGAGTTGCCTTACCACCCATTGTTTGGCTTCTGAGTTCTTTCATCATCTGTATAAGAAATAATCCACTAAATTTCTCTTCTTTGAAAGTTTCTAAAATGATTTTTGTGCCCCTGACTGGACCCTGATGGACACAGATATAAGACTGAAGGCTGGAAAATGAATCAGCTGTTTTCCCTTCATGGTAACCAGGTTAACTGCTATTGTCTATATGAAAAGAGGCAGGGGAAATGGAACAAGAAAGGGAACAAATACTGATTGAGTACATTTGGTATGCAAGTGCTTTATTACATTTCATCCTGACAGATGAGGAAACTGAAGCTCAGAGAAATTAGGTCGTTACTAAGATCCTATTTCTAATATATGGTTGAACAAGAATTTGAAATCAGGACTGATTCAAAAGTGTTGTCACTGAAGCATACTTCTTCCCTACCAAAGTTACATTTAGAAATATTTTTTTTTTAAGATTTATTTATTTACTTATACAAGAACCGGGTTACAGGCCAGATTCACGGGAGGGTGAGAGGATTCACCAGAGAAAGAGTGGGGAACAGAACAGGCAGACTGACGAAATACACTGCTGAGGGGAACAGCAGGCAAGACTAGAGAGGTCTGCTTCTGCTTCGCCATGTGGGACCCTCTCCAGCAGGCCGGGATTGAACCCACGCTGCAGAGGCTGCAGACAGCTTTACAGCACTGCGCTCAACTGCCTGCGCCACCAGGGGAGGCCCTACATTTAGAAATATTCTTGAAGGACTGGGGGAACTAAGAGATAAAAGTAGTAAATATCATGTAACCTGGAATTTGACTGACTGCTATGTCCATACCAAGCTTAGCTGAATGTAGCCATTATTATGCAGCACAACTGTTACCTCTTTAAAGACTGCCTTTCATGAGTCTATATCCTGCCAGGATTTGAGGATGACTGAGAAAGTGTTTATTTTTGAGAACTGAAAATATATATTAAGCATTCTGTTATTCTGGAGTTGTTTTCATGGACTCTAGGATCCCTGTGTTTGGAAGAGAACAATTTATTTTGGAACTTTTCATCCTCCTTCCACTGAAAAAGTTTATTAACATTGTTCTGTTTTAGACATCCTCAGTATCAAAAAAAAAAAAAAAAAAAAATGCTGCTGTGGGAAAGGTGGAAGGAATAGGTGCTCTTATCTGCTTCTGTGTTAACCAAAACCTGATTACCCCCCAGATCTTGCTCTCGCTTGAGATATAAACATGTATATCCACTACCTCTGGCTCTATTTGTTATTCTCGTATAAGTCAGATTCAGTATGCCCTGCACTCACTGTATTTCCCTGAGTATAAGGCTCTTCCTTCTATATTTATATACCGGGCACATAGTATACCACCTTTCCCCTATCGACTGCCCTAGTCAATCATTCTATTTTTTTTTTAAGATTTATTTTTTATTTATACAGGAGCTGGGGTACAGGCCAGAAGCACGGAGGGTGAGAGGATTCACCAGAGACAGAGCGGGGAGCAGAACAGGCAAACAGACCGAAAACATTGCTGAGGGGAGCAGTGGGTGAGACAGGAGAGGTCTTCCACGTCATGTGGGAATCTCCCTGGCAGGCTGGGAATCGAACCAGCATAGTAGAGGCTGTGGACAGCTTCACGGTGCTGTGCTCAACCTGCTGCGCCACCGGGGAGGCCCCCAGTCAATCATTCTAAACCCCACTCTCTTCCTCAGGCTCCACATCCAACCAGGTACCAAATACTGTTATCATCAACTTTTTAAGTCCCTCCCAAATCTAGTATCACTTATTCATTCTTCAAATATTTAATAAAAGCATCACTTATGTATTCTTCCAGGCCTTTTGCCGGCCTGGTCCTCAGTCCTGGGGTATTAAAATAAACCTCATATGCTGAAGGAGTAACTTCCTGTGTAACTCTTTATATGTCCATGTTTTCCTTAAGTTCTTTCTTATCTGGATCACATTATTAATCTCTTTACTGTTTGAGTTGTCATTTTCCATCTTCTTCTCCACCCATCTTGCCTATGACCCCAGAATGAATTTTTACAATTGAAACATTCTTAAAGTCTTTCAGTAGCTACACACAGCCTTCCATGCAGTCTAAATGCTTTGCCATGACATGTGGGATACATCGTGTCTGATTGCTTCCAGCCTCTACCTATCCCCTTCAGATTAACATACCCCCTTCTACAAAATCTTTCACCTGTCTTATATACATATTGCTCCCACTAATTCTAACACCTCTCCCCATCTCACACTTCTGCTTAACCCCTTTATGTTTCAAAACACTATAGAAAGAAATTTCCTTCTCTGGAAACTCCTCTCCCATGCCTGGGGCTCCTTCATGATTCTGTTCTCAGTTCCCACAATACCTAGTGCATACCTTTTTCATCATATCACAGCACTTATCAGACTAATACGCAAATGCACTATCTCCTCCATTCACTTCCTTGAGGGCAGGGAGAGGCTCAGGTTCAGTGTACATTTTCACTGCCAGGCCCTGGATCTGGAACATGGTAATCCCTCAGTACCTACTAGAATGGACAAGTGCTTACTTTGAAACTTTGAATTAATATACTATCTACATCATGAAGCTCAAAAGAACATTTTTGCTGTTTAAAACTTCTATTTTATCTCCACTGTACCTGAGACTAGATTCTGCTTTATACATGCAACTACTAGAGTAATAATCCAGTTTTCTTTGAATACTACTTTAAGCCATTAAACAAAGACTGAGGTTATAGAGGTGACTGGAGAACTCCAGCCAGGAGGAGTTCATCTAGTCTTTCAAGTCTCCATAGCAAATTCAACAAAATTTTTTTTTTTTTTTTTTTTATTAACTAGGTATACCAGGTGTAGACTTTGGAATAATTTTAGGAAAATGGGCCTCCCTGGTGGCGTAGGTGGTTGAGCACAGCGCTGTGAAAGCTGTCCACAGCCTCTGTAGTGCCGGTTCGATCCCCGCCGGCCTCAGAGTAACCCACACAGCGAGCAGACCTCTCCTGTCTCGTCCGCTGCTTCTCTCAGCAGTGTATTTCATCAGTCTGCCTGTTCTGTTCCCCGCTCTCACCCTCCCGCGCATCGGGCCTATACCCCAGCTCTTGTATAAATAAAATGAATCTTTAAAAAAAATAATTTTAGGAAAATGTGTAAGTGTAACCACGATCTCCATGCTCCACTAGGCAGTATCCTAAAAGGAAGAGTCTACTACACAAAGTGCTGATTTTCTTGGGGCAGTGTTTTCGTTATAGTGGGATTATAAGAAAAAAAAGTATTTGCATCTCACACAGGTCCCTGTGAGTTCAAAGTAACAGGATGAACAGCTTTTTACATCTGTCAAAGAGTAAATCTACTGAAAGAGAAAAACCTCTGCATGGCTCTTGGATAATCTAATAGTTTAAAAGATAGACTTAAAACCATAGGTTGGTTCCCATACCATCCCTTATCTGCCATGTACCAGAGGATAATAAAATAACTTATTACAAAATATCTCCCACTGCTAGTTACATGCCAGTACTGCCAGTGCACTGGAAGCATTTAGCCAGGTGTAAGCTGAATAATGCATTTAGATGGTGCACAGCAAGTATTACAGAGTTGTGCCCATAAGATAAACTTCTGTACCTATTAACACTTAATAACAGAGATCTGTCTACACAGGATTACTCTGGCTTTCAGGTCCAAGCTAAACAAGTTTTGAGGAAATACTCCAGGGAGAAATGAGTTTTGGATTTAGTAGGAATCCTATGTTTTGGTTGTAACAAGAGTGGTATTCTTGTTATATTCTCTTCTCTAGATAGATTCATCTAGGATGATTGTATTTCAGGTGTTAAGAGACTGACTTTCCTAAACTATTATTAGCAAAATAAAAGGTCTAACTTTCTGATATGCTTCCATACTAAATATCAGGCTATAGTGCCAAGAATCCGTTGGCAAAGGAGGTTGTGATGCAGTGATGTGACATACCAAAGACGGGAGACCATTATTTTTTACTTTTCCATACGCTTTATTGCCAACAGTTTGAAATGGTCAACATAAAAAAAAAAAATTGATAATAAATACTGCTCTTTGGGCTGTAATAAATAAAAAGTTTATTAACAAGGAATGCACTTTTCCAGCCACAAGTATCTTCAAAAATTAAGCAAAAAAAAAAAAAAATTATATATGGCCATAGTTCACAGTTAAGCAGCCAAAAGCTGCTTTAATTACAGCCTTTAAACAACATGGGAGCTTCCTCCCTTCTCCCTCCCCTTCAGGAAGTTTATTCACAGTTCCAAGTCCTCTGTCTGAAATGCTCTCAACAGAGAGAAGTTAAGAGTCTATGCACCTTTCTGCGTAATTGTCTGAAAAACCCTTTAAAACAGGTACGTCAGGAAAACTGCATTCTGGTTCACTCTTGGATTATCCAAAGTCACAAACTGTATGCTCTTGGATTATCCAAAGTCACGAACTGTATGCCTCAGCCTGGTCTGGCTCCACTCAGTCCAGCAGGCCACAAAGGAATTGTTTTCGTACCACCACCTGCCCTTCTTCTTCAACATGCTATAGATCATTCTACTGGCTTCCCTGTAGATCTCACAGTGGAAAAGAGGAGTCCCATAGGGTCCGTTCAAGTCTTTTAGTTACATCTCTGTAACAGCATATTCAGAGCATATTCCATTCGATGTTTTAATTCTAGTGAACAGCCAGACATCAACAGAGTTGTCAGCCTGAATGTCGTAGATATTCTGTCCTCATTGATGTAAGTGAGAAGGTATTCTTCATTTTGGCTACAGATGATTATTTTCGTATGATCATGGTAGAAATTCACCTTTAAAAAGTAAACGGAGATATTAGATGGCTACAAATGTTAAGAATTAGAAATTTTAGTCAATAATTAAACTCGTTAGGTAGAAACCATTTTTTAGGACCTAAAGATGCACTTTCTGAAAGGGTTCACTTACTTGAAAGGTGCCATCATTGAAGAGCATCATTAAGGCCTTATCAGATTTTAGCCACTGAAGGAGGTAGAGCCGAGGTCTTCGAATGTCAGTAACACTAGGCAGATCTCCACCCTGAAAGATATTCGAAGTGTTAGTTCCTATTAAGATTTTTGCGATGTGAACTCAATTCTTCTAAGCAAATGCCTCACACTTAAGGAAGCATCAAAATGCTAGTTTTCTACCCCCACCTCACAGAGGTTCTGACTCAGAAAATCTAGCGTAGGACATGAGTATCTGTGCTTCTAACAAGCTCCAAGTGTACACAGATGCTTCTGGGCTCTCAACAAGGCTTCAAATACCACTGCTCCAAAGTCATAGTACTTACATCCATGAGGTTCTCCTCCATGTAATGAGAGAAGTATTTCAGCACCGTCACTTGGCTAATAAATTGTTCAGGGGCATCCGTTGCCGGGAAAACAGAACATTGGCCAAGTTCTGCATAATAGTGAACTGTTCTAAAAAACAGGACAATAAAAGAAAAAAAAATAGAAGAAGTTAGTCATCATTTTCAGGATTCTCTAGCACAAGACTAAAGAACTGACAGGATTTCATCAGTTGGATACTTACTTTTTGTCCGGAAGGAGGCTCATGTGAGCACCGTTGTTGAAAAGGACACCTACAGTGTGGTCAGAGAGCTGGTACCCAAAGCCATATTTGTTAGAGTAATCGACCCATTTGGTAACCCACTGAAAGGAAGTGCTCAGCTGCTCTTTGGGAATGCAGTCAGCTTCAGGCATGTTCTCTAGACAGCCTCGAAGGACTCTTGCCACTGTATCTGCAACACTTCCCATGGTACTGTCTTCAAGGCCTGCAGGTCACAAAAAGTTACAAAATACTTAATAAAATCTGTCTCTGGTAGATGCTAAGCCTTCCCGCACTAATTTGAAAGACACAGAACTTAAAATTCTCCTTTTTCCAATTCCTCTGATTCTGCTTCTATGTTAAATTAGGCTACAAAACAAATTGACTTCAATCATTGGCATTTACAGTTTCACCATTTAAAACATGACTGACAACCACTTACATTCACTGCTACTGCTGCAGCTGCCAAGAGTCCCTCTGACTATCATCCGAATGGCATCTCCAATCTGCTGCTTGTTTTCTACTGCGGGTGTGCCAGATCTGGCAACTGTAGTGCTGGGTGGCTGGAGCTCCTAGAAAAGAGAAGTCAAGCAATGAGTCAAGCTTCTAAAATTCATTTAAGGTTGAGATTTTGGGGTTATGTTGAGTTAAGTTACTGGGAAATCTTATCAAGAAGTAAAGGGCACAAGCACATAAAAGATACTGTAGTAAATCAACTGCATGCATGGTTTAACTGAAAGACAGAATATCTCCTTTTAAAGGGAAAATTTGAAGTCAATTCAGCATGCTTGAAATGTGATAATCATAGTCCAAGTGATAATTGATGCAGCATGAAAGCGATGTAAAGTGTTTGTGTCTATTTTATTTATTTCCAGTATACCTCATCTGTCCTGTGTTTGCTGGGTTGCTGAGTTATCGAAGTCTTTTTCAAATCATGCCTAAGCTTGTAAATGTCTTCATCTTCTTTAGACACTTTATCTGTAAATCAAGGAAAAGAATTATGAGCATTATTTAGCCTAACAAGATAGGAACAGAGCTAGTCATATTTCCTCCTTTTGCATTAATAACTAGCTTATAAGCAACAAAGGCAAAAACAGTGTTTTGATTTATCATTGACATCTGCTGCAATATGCAAACAGCACTCTTTAACATACATGAAATAAAAAGCTATCAATCACAATTTGCAGTGTGGGATTTTAGGCTATATAAAAAGGTCAAGTGTACATAAGCATACCTGCTAAGTTATGTTACTATAAAAATATTTTAATTCACTTAAAATTTAATATAATATTGGTTACATAAGAGAGGGAGAACTTTTAATACTTACTATGTGTGTCAATATATCTTGCTTTGTCTTTTTTGCCACCAAAAAGAGCAGCAGCTGCTTTCTTAAAGAAATTCTTAGCTGGACTTGATAGGTGGAAATCTGGAACTGTATGACAACAGCTAGAAGAAAGTCTGTCTGGAGTGAAGCCCTATGAAATAGCAGAAGACTTTCAATAACTGGCTAGGGAATTGGGACTAATAACATGTAATAAAAAGACACAAGAAACACACAAACCTGCAAAAAAAATTCATGCCGAATGATGTCATCCAAACTGGGACGATCCTCTGGATTTTTGGACAACATGCTAGCTATTAGGTGCTTAGCGGGAGCCAGCAATGACGATGGCATTGTATACCTTGCTTCTCTAATGCACCTGTAGGTTTCTTTCAGATTTGTGGTTTCAAATGGGGGTCTTCCTAATAACATTGTATACCTGCATACAAGAAAACATTTTTTTTAGGAATGGTCCAGTGTTAAAATCTAAATCCAAATTTTCTTTCGGATCACTTGGTGCATTTACTTACATTACACAGCCTAAGGCCCAAATGTCCGATTCACAGCCATGTCCTTGTTTGTTGAGGACTTCAGGAGAGAGATAATTTGGGGTACCACATATTGTTCTGGAAATACAAAATAGGAAGATCTTATTCTATTGTTCAAACTTAGTTTGCTGGACAAAAAAATCTTAAAAGTACTATGTTGAATTTCTATTTGGATTCATCTGACTCTTGATTTTTGGCATTTGGACAACTGACATTTGACCATGTGACCTGGTAATTTTTTTAACCCGTTAGGAGTTCTCAGAACTCATGACAATGTTTTCAACAGAGACCAGGTACAGCATGGCCTTTTTATACATTTTAGGCAAAGATCAGACAGATTTCTTTCATAATCACCATGTAGGCATAAGGTACTTGTGTCTGGTCCACAGAAGGCACTTAATGTTTCCTTAAATTAACAGTATTGTGGTTTATAGATCAACCAACATTTTATTATCTGCTAAGCTTCTTGAAACATTAATTGGAAAGTAATAAAGGCACATTTGATCTCCAAGAAACACTACTAGGGTATTCATTTCTGGCTCTTACCTCCTTCTGTGTTCCAAGGGTTCCAGCCTGGCTGCCAAACCAAAGTCCCCAACTTTCAGTTCCATAGCCTCATTAATAAAAAAGTTACCTAGAGGACAAATAAAACAAAATCTGAATTACTATGAAAAGGCATTCTAACCAAGTGCATACACATTCACTTTGGAAGCAGAGAGCCGGTTGTTTAATATTAAAGTTACCCATTCAAAAGCAAGATTGCATCAGCTAGATCCCAGTTAACAACACTAACAGATTAAAAAGGGTGAGAGAAAAGAAAAGCCCCCCCTCCCCACCCAACACCAAAGTGTTGGAGTAGAGGGCTTACCTAGTTTAAGATCTCTGTGCAAGATTTCTTGTTCATGAAGGTACTTGAGTCCAGACACAATCTGCCTGAGGTAGTATCGGACTTCTGGCTCCGTCAACACCTTTCTTGCTTTCAAGATATGAGCCATGGACTATGTAAAGAAGGAAAAAAAGAGAATGCGTCAAACAAAAAAAATCAACGGTTTCCTTTTGCAGAAAGAGTGACGAAAGTTAATGTTGCCTTAGTACAGCTCCTCAACTAAAATACCAAATAAACCACAATTTGAATACCAACTGGGTTTGACAGAAATAGATGTACTGAGAAGTTAATGCTTACCCGTCTACTGCAGTATTCCAAGAGAATGTAAATGTTTTCTTTGTCCTCAAAGTAGTGGTAAAACTGCACTACATGCTTATGATGAAGAATTCTGTGAAGCTCTATTTCTTTGTCAATCTAAAAGAAAAGCAGCATAAACCTTATTAGCCTCTCTTCACCTCTGAGGAGCAGTTGCTTACACATGCAAAAGACATTTTCCTGACAGGGAAGGGCTATCCCTGCACACAAAGAAAATACTTTACTCAACAGTCATACACACCTTTTCCCTTTGATGTGGTTTAGCTACTCTGCTATGAGGAATAATTTTTGCAGCATAGACTTTGTTGTTTGTCAAATCTGTCATCTCGTAACATTTTGCAAAGCCACCCTGAAAGGAAACAAAGCCGAGAAGGGAATTGAGTATGGCAGAAAAATGGACGGCAGGTATTTTAAAATAAGGAAAAATACAAGGAGGCAGAGGGATGCAGTTTACTTTTTAAAAGCTCCTCGAGGAAGGGAAAATCATTCCTGAAAACAGCAGTTTGCAAGAATTTTCCTTTCTCCCTATACAAAGAGGAGCTTTATGAGGGTGGGGGGGGGTAGGTTGGGTTGACGAGAAATAATGTGTGAAGAGACTTGTCAAAAATGTTTCCAGGGTGGAGGTAGAGGGAGCTAGGTCTGGTACAGAAAGCCCCTGCTTTTCTGGCCTCATGATCAATTTCTTTTAGCTGCAAGAGGCATCAGAGCCGGCTCAGGAGGTAGTGTCAATTCCGTCGCTGTCAGCGCACAAAAGGCAGAGGAGGGCAGGTGAGCAGCCCACGTCGCGCCGGGGCTGGAACCCCAGAAGCTGTGGGCGCGGGGGCTCCGCATCCAGCGCGGCTCGGGGGGCCGCCCGGTCAGACCTCCCTCCCTCCTGGCAGCCAGGCGCCCGCCGCTCGTCACCTTTCCCAGCACTTTGCCCCGGCAGTAGCGCTTCCCCGTCGTGGGGTCGACGATAATCCGTGAGATCTCGGCGCCCGAGTGCGAGTGGTGGTGGTGGTGGTGAGGGGCCGCGGGCTGCACCGGCGCCTGGGGCTGCGGCGCCTGCGGTTCCTCCGGGGTCTGCTGCGGTCGCTTCTTCTTCGAGTCTCCGCCGCAAGCCTTGCCCAGCGCCTGCTCGCACATCTTGGTGCCGGCGGCCGGCTGGTAGGTGATAGTCCGCAAGAGCTCCATCGTCGCCCCGCCGCCCGCCGCCACCCCCGAGGCGCGGACGCGCGTCCGAGCCGGCCCTAGTCCGTGAGCCGCCGCCGTCCGCCGCCCGAGCCCGACGCCTTCATCCACTTGTGCGAGTGCGAACGCCCGGCGAAGTCTTATAAATGGGCCGGGAAGGGGGCGGAGAATGAAACGGGATGCGACGTCACCGGTGACGCCCCGCCCACCGGCCGCCCGAGCGCGCGGGGCCGGCCCGAGGTCACGACGGGTGGCGAGCGCCGTGGGCCCTGGCGCGGGGCGGCCGCCGGGGCCGGGCTCCGGGAGCTGCGGGCGCTCGCCGCGACGGGGGGGGGGGGGGGGGGCAGCCGAAGGGCCGGGCGGTGCCCCGGCCGCCACCCGTCTCCGGACGCTCGGCAGTTCGGGGTTTGAAATAGAAACGCGAGGACCGCCGTCGGGCCCGCCCTCCCGCCGGGCGCGCGGCGTGCGGAGCCTGCCGGCGCGTGCTGGACGCCCGGCCCATCCCCCGCGCGGCCCGGCCTGGCCGCCCCGCAGCCTCCCGCCTCCGGGGCCATGGTGTGCGCGTGTGCCCCGAGTTCTTGGCGTGGGAACGTGGGGCCCCGCCCCGGCCACCCGGAGGGCTTCCGAGCCGCGGCTGCCCGCCCTGCTGCCCACTCGGTGCTGCTCCCGCACGTTTTTACCCCATTAGCTGCCGTCTGGTGGCGGGCACGCGGGGGAGGCCGTGCCCGAGCTTAGACTCCAAGAGTCGGGTGTTCCCAGCCCACTCTGGCTTCTGAATGCGGAGTCAGGCTCGCGGCCCCAGGCCCGAGTCCTCTTAGCCAGCGGGGGCCTCACCCATCACCCCAGAGCGGGCTTCGGGGCCTCGGTCGGAGGTCAGGCCCTTAACCTTGGAGAGGGAGGACGGCGTCCTCCGAAAGGCTTCGAGTTGCTGAAAACCAGAAAACAAGGGCGCCATCTCATGGAATGTTCCAGAAGCACAGCCGTCTCCGTGGCAGAGGTTAAGGGCGGTGTGGGCCATTGACAGCGGCGTGAAAAACCCTCATGCTGCTGAATAGGGTTTTACCATCGATATCGCCTCCCACTTCATATTGCCAATGGATTTTGCAGAATGCGTCCTTCTTGTTGCTCATTAAGCCTCGTGGCTGGGAGAATCAATCCAAAGCTTTCTAAGGTGAGGGGATTGGTAGGATCAAGGGAGGACCGCAGGCAAGTGAGCCAAAATGTTATTTATTATCTTAATTCCAGATTTTACTATTCAGTTCTGCCAGCCTAGAAACACCATTTTACCTTGTTCTGACAGCAATAGTGTGACATTTATTGAACACGTGCGAGGCATCAGGTTTAGTATTTTTAAGTGCCTCCTTTAATGCTACAGTAGTTCCAAGTGGAAAAGACATCACCGTTTTTCAGATGAAGAAACTGGAGCTTAGAGAATTCAAGTATTTTTGACAAAAGGAATTAGACAGTTTTTTGATACTAAGCCCCATTACTATTTTGTATAACAAATTAATCCACTGTCAAGTTTAGGTATGCAGGGTTTCAAAAAAGCACTTACAAGACATCCTTTCTCATACTTTGAATAAAATGTAGAAAGACTTCATGTGACATTACATAATAGAAAGGGAATGTTTTCTCTCTTATTTATTTTTAACAAATCCGGGCATGCTTGGGCATGTTTCTCATAAGTGAAAGTAGACTTTACTCCAAGATTATACGTACTAAAATACTGGGTGGCCTGGGGTGGAAATAAAGAATTACATAACCTGTCCCTTTATTCAGCAAACCTGAGAATGACCTTTGCTTTCCAGATTTATGCAAACCTTTTCATTAGCCTATATTAGGCTTGCTAGTTCAGAAATGCTACCTTCAATTTCTAGAGCTAACTTTATGCCATGTCTTTATTTATTGGTTGATATTGAAATAAAAGTTTTTGGCCTTCTAAGCTATGTTTTTGGCCATCTTCTTGATACATATATTTTTTTGGACCGTGAAGAATACCGTGGATTTTTTCCATTGTTATTTCGGTTCTTTGATTATTTCATACTTTTGTTTATAATTTTACCTAGGGCACGTCAGCATTTGATAGACTACTGAACACTCGAAATGAAGCACAGGTCTACCTTCCCAAACATGCAGGTATTTAAAAATATCAACTCTTAAGTGCTAAATTGTCTTATTTCCAACTGTGAAAATCTGATTTTTTAGTTTGTGCTGCCACCATGTGGCTAGAACCAAAATTGTAGTCCAGAAAACAAAAAAGGAAATAAATGTACCTCCCAGTAGAGATGAATCTTTAATTACAAAATATTTATTTGTAGTTCTATATACTTAATGCACGTAAAATTAAAATAACAATAAGATTTTTGGATTTACTTGAAAAAACATGAAAGTGTGTAAAAGAAGAAAGGAAAATCTCCCAGCTGTCAGGACATAATGAAGCTATAGCAATCAAGAAAGCTCACAGGGATAGATTGACCAACAGAATATGCTAGAAATAGATCATCATACACATATGAAACTTTGATATATGACAGAGGAGGCATAATAAATGAGGAATGGAGGACCTAGTATTCACTACCACAGAGTTAACATTTTCTTGTGATGGGAACTTCTATGATTTACTTTCCTTGCAACTTTTACATATATGATACAGTATTAGTTATAGTCAACATGTTGTACATTACATCTCTGAACTAATTTATCTTTAAACTGGAAGTTTGTGTCATTTGATCACTCACTTCATTAAATCCCACCTCCCACCTCTAGCATCCACCACTAAGAGTTCACTTTTATTTTTAAATCCATATATAAGTGAGGTCATAGAGTATTTGTTTTTCTCTGACTTACTTCACTTAGTTTAATGCCATTAAAGCCCATCCTTGCTGCAATGGCAGGCTTTCCTTTGCTTTAATGATGGAATGATGGAATAGTAATTACATAGATACACACCACATTTTCTTATGCATTCATTTGTCTATGAACACTTTTGTTATTTTAATGTCTTGGCCATTGTGAATAATGCCGCACTGAACTTAGGGGTGCATATGTATCTTTAAGTTAGTGCTTTCATTTCTTTTGAATAAATATCCAGAAGTGGAATTGCTGGATCATATGGTAGTTCAATTTTTAATATTTTGAGGAACCTCAGCACTATTTTCCATAGTGGCTATACCAATTTACAGTCTCAACAGCAGTGAATAAGTATTCCTTTTTCTCCAGAACCTTGCCAACACTTATTATTTCTTGTCTTTTGGATGGAAGCTATTCTAAGTGGTATGATTCAATAATGGCTCACTATGATTTTGATTTGCATTTTTTCACTGATGATTAGTGATGTTGAACCCTACCATGTACTTGTTAGCATTTTTTATGGTTCTTTGGAGCAGTATCTTTTCAGATCCTCTGCTCACTTATTAATTTAGTTGGGTATTTTGCTATTGAGTTGTAGAAATGCTATATATGTATTTTAGAGATTAACCCTTTATCAGATATATGACTTGCAAATATTTTCTTCCATTTTGTGGGTTACCCTATCATTTTGTTTGTGATTTCCTTTTAGTTTTAGTTTTCTTTTTTAGTTTAGAACCTTTTTAGTTTTATATAGTCCCACTTGTTTATGTTTGCTTTTTTAGTCTTTGTTTTTGCTGTCAGATTCCAAAAAATCATCTCCATGACTGATTTCATGGGGCTTACCCTCTATGTTTTCTTCTAAGAGCTTTATGGTTTCAGGTCTTACATTCAAGTCTTTAGTTTAATTTCTAGTTGATTTTTATGTATGATGTAAAATAGATTGTACATATTTTACATGTCTGTCTAGTTTTCCCAATGTCATTTATTGAAGAGATTGTTCTTTATATATATCCAAATATATACAATGGAAAAAGATATACAACAAAGAGAAATATTTCTTTGCATGCAAAAATCATTAACTCTGTAGAAGAGAATGATCAATTTGACTGAATTAAAATGAAATTTTACTCATCAAAAACACCTAAGACTAAAAACTCAGATTATAAATGGGTACCTGTACAAATTTGTATACGTTTAACCAATAAACAATTAGTACAAGAGTACATAAAGGACCTCTACAAATCGATAATTGAAATGAATCAACGGAAAAATGAGTGAAACATTTCATAGAAAAAGGATTATATATAACTAATAAGTGAGATGAGATTCCCAAATTCATTATCATTCACATGAAAATCAAAACCATTTTAATTGTTTCAATTGATAAGAATTAGGAAGCCTAAGATGTCAAGTGTTGGAGAAGATGTAGATTAATAATTTATTTACGCAATTATGCTGGGAAAGTAGATTTGTCATTCTTACACCATACCTACCACCTAACAGTAGAAATGCTTGCACATGTGTACTAGGAGAAACATACAAGTACAGCAGTGGCAGCTCATTTAGTCTTAGGAAACAAAGCAGACACAAACAAAATGCCCATAAAATAAGAGAATGGATAAATAAATCATACTACATATTATAATAGGATACTACATGATAAGCAATGAATTACAAATATCCACATCAATATTGATCCATTTTAATGTTCAGTTCTAAAAGGCAAATCACAGATTACTCTTTTAATAAAATTCAAGAAAATTTTCAAAATATTTCATAAATACATGCACATATATTGATCTAGAGTACTATTTACAATAACGGGGAAATATTAAAACACAAAATATAGGATAATAGTTACCTTGTGTGGGTGTGGTCAGAAACATAGAAGGAAGAACACAGAGGTCACCATGAAATATTAAAATTGATTCAGTTCTTCGGTTAGGTTAGTTCTTCTTTCGCCTAAGAACAGAGCAAGCAGAAGACTGATGCATGCAGAGAATTGAAACTCTGTCATGAGCCAAGGAGCATAACAAATCTAATCACGTCTACTTTAAATCCAGGTTAAAAAATAATATTGATTCCTAATAAGCATACGATGTGAGGGAAGTGAAACATATGGGAAGAATAATTTGATATGCAAGCATGTTTCTAATAAGGCTGCAGGGTCCAGGCTGGACCTCATGACTCCAAGTCCAAATAACCTGGTCATCTGCAGCTTCAGTCTGGAAGGTGAAAAAGAGCCCAAACCTTATTTCATA